ATAATACGAGCAAATAAAAGTGCATGTAAATGACAGTATTATTATATAATGAAATGAATGCTGCATGTCATTCATGTTTTTAGAGCCTGTTCTCAGCTTAGCTCATAGAGATTTCTGGCATTGTTTTGAACAGCTTCTACAGCACGACACATGTGGCAGGTGAGTCTTTATGCACTTATTGCTTCTCATTTTTATTGCTTCTCATTTTTTCCCTTCAGCAATCTGAAGGGAGGGTGGGATCTTATGCTTTGAAAGCTATCTCCCTATTGATAGCCTTTACGAAAATTACCTTTAGATCCAGGACATAAACTGTAATGTAGGATTTTGAAAAATTTTAAATGATAAAAAATAATGGCGCAATATAAATAAAAGAAGTAGTTTTTGTCATTCCTAAATTGTTATTCTAATAAATCCAATAACAATATATTTTATAATTCATAATAAATTATGATTAATCACAACCACAAGTTTTCTGAAAATAGTGCATCTTAATGATCAGAATGTTCTGTCTGCCCATGAAGGTTGAGTTCAGTCTCTTTGGCAGTGCAACAGACCACAGCCTGCAGCAAACTCATTACATCTCAAGGCCGAGGACGCTTCTTCATACGGCTCATGCTGATGAGGAGAACCCTGGGAAATGTAGTAAAACACCTGCTGCACACAAACAGAGTTATCGAGGTTAGTGGACACTAACAGAGTGATGACTAAATCGTGAATACTTACAGAATAATCAATGTCATTTCTTTTCTTTACAGTGGTATTGCGCTAACATTTCTATTCTTAGAAATGAGGAGTTTGTAGGTGAGTTTTTGGTTTCACAAACCGCCTAAATTTAGCCGTTGTATTGTTTTGATTTTTTGTTGCTGTATGCGTTTCCAAACAGAACCGTTTCTTTCGCTGTCTATGGTGTTGTCAGAAATTAACTTTAAGATCAGTATTGAGGTATGAACCACTAAGCCAGTGTATTCACAATATTATATGATATAATATATATATATATATATATATATACATATATACAATGTGCTGAGATTGCTGTAATTTATTTATTTATTTTTTCTGGGAACTTCCTCTCTGTGACTTTAATCTCAGAACTGCAGTTTCCTGGATGAAAGCTGGCTGCTCCCGGTACAATCTTAATATTCTGACATGCTTCATTTGCCTGTATGTGCATGAAGATTTAATGTTGAACTGCATGTTGGAAACCTTGCTTGTGTTTTAGGTGTGTCAAATTTATGAAGCTGTTCCCTGTCGGGAGCTGGGAATGGTGCTCAGGTTAGCATGTCAGCTTGTCTTTTCAATTCTGAATGCTGCATTTGTTTGTAATTTTAGTGCAAATAATTTATGTTCACATTCTGATACATGCTGTTTGTGTTAAAGAAAATTGTGCGCAAATACACAGTGCAAGTTTTTGATTTTCTAGATTGAACAGCAAATATTCCTATCATTGCTATTTATATCCCATTTACTTTCTATAGGTACCTAGATGGACGTGTGTTTGTGCTGGATCTGCTTCAGGGTAGTCAAGCTCAGGCGGATATGTTTGCCGAGCCTGGTGACATCATTGATGAAATCAATGGGATATCGCTGAGGAATGCTAGCAATGGGCAGGTCAGAATAAATCGTACCTATAAAATGTGTCCTACATGACCCAACATTTTAACATAAATATATATTAGTTTGCTTCTAACGACAGCCTGATATATGTACTGTATAATCATAAGCTTCTGTTTCCATTGTGTTTCTAATACTCTAATACTCGTTCTTCACAAGATGTGGCTCCTGTCACATCGCTTTAAAGGAAAAGTTCATTGAAAAATTAAAATGTTGTCATCATTTACTTGTTTCCAACCACATATTATTTTCTTTCTTCTGGGAAACACTAAAAGAGATGTTAGGTACAATGTTCAAAATGCTGGTTTCCACGAAGTGGATGATAATGAATAAATGTAAATGATAATATTAACTGCACATAATTAAAGTACCATTAAAGTTATTCAAATGATTCATATAATTTATGCGCTATATTTCAAGACCCTCTAAGGCCACACATTAATTATTCTGCCATTTAAATCCATAATACTTTCGTTCATTGTTGTAAAACAATTGAATATTTATATTCAAGGAAATCTGTGAGATTTCTGTGCTTCCATTGAAAGTCTGCTCACCCAAAACTCTGACAAACGTTCAAAACTTTCACAAAGAGATTGTAAAATAAATTTTGAGTATTCTATGTATGTTTGTGAGTGAATAAAGCCTAAATTAAATGTGTTCTTTATATAAAGCAATCGTGTCTCTTCAGAAGAGTTAGATTAAACTAGATTCAAATGGATTTATTTTACGATCTCTTTATGAATGTTTTATAAAGTTTTGGGTGACTAGACTTTCAATGGAGAGACATTTAAAACATTCATTAAAAATATCTTCATTTGTGCCCTGAAGATGAGCAAAAGTCTTATGGGTTGTGAACAACATGAGAGTAAATAATTGATGACAGTATTTTCATTTTCACAACTAATGTGACAAACAGAACAAAATTAAAGTTTTGTAGTGCTCAAATCTGATTTGCACCAGCATTTTAAAGTTGACATAAAAATAAAAAATTTACCCTATATTTTCCAAATACTTATTGATCTTATTGTGAACGTATATGTATGTGTATCATTTGTTTAAAAAAAAGAAAAGAAAAAAAGTTGACTTTGTAATTTGAATTAAAATATCATAACTCTATCTTCCAGTGAAACAACATACTGATAATCCGATAATCACTCGGATGTACATCAAAATACAGTGTAGTATAAAAGATCTGTCACTACTTCCATTACATTGCGACTTTAAAATTGTCTCTGCAAATATGAAGAAAAAAAAAAGTTAAACAAAGGCACCGTAAAGACCAATATCTGACTGACAGGCCACACACTTTTCCCCCTCCAAAGGCAGGTGTGGTTTTGTCAAAGCTGAAGGGTCAGCCACTTTCCATCCACTTGATACGTTGGAGAGGAGAAGATGGGTCCATCTATCAGCCGCTGGTCAAACACTTACGGAAACTCAAACAGGAAAAACCCTCGCTTCGGTTTGGTCCAAAACCCGCCTCTCAGCAGGACAGAACTGCGGGTCAGAAGAGAGGGCAGACACAGTGTGCGAAAGACGGCAGGTACTCTCAATAAAAACATCACGCGTGTTTGCAATTGTATTAGTCACAAATACCATAAACAGTCTGGCCTGTTTGATCGTGTTTCATTAACAGGATCCTGTACGCTGTACACCTCTTAGGAAAAGCAAACATAGGAATGGTACAGTAGTTGTGTAAACATCTCTTTATGGTGCACTTGCTTTGCTTTAATCCATGCATGTGTATTATTGGAGTCAATATGTGATCCTAAATAGTGTGATTATTGAATATCGATGTTATTTTTGTTGAATCTTAAGTGTGGAGGTAAGGAGGTTCTGCAGCATGCCATTCCTGAGGTTCTGGAGAGCAAACAGGCAAGAAAGGTACATCTACAATTAATCAAGTGAGTTTTATGTAAAGAGATACATGTAAGCTAGTTGTGACATCTGTATGATTTTTCATGCATTCTTTCTGATTTTGTCATACAGGAAGTACTGCTGGATGTAAAGGAGACTCATCTTACCTGCATAGAGAAGTCCAATAAGCAGGTTTGTATTATTCAGTGTTATATACTGTATGTTTAACCATGTATGGTATATTATTTTAAGCCGAAGTGTCTCCTTTTGATTAGGAGCTGTTTCAACACCACTTCCCTGAGATATCATGTGTTGGGAGGTTTGGAAGCCAACCTGATTTAACCATTTTTGCTTTCTGTTTATTGTAAGTATACTTTGAGAAACTGTTGTATAATAGATGTCTATTCATATATAAGTAATTCAAATTAGATGAATGACATGTCAAGCTTTCTTTCTGGAAATATCAAATGTTTCTTTTTTCTAAAGTCAGTGCTTTCAGCATTTGATAGGCTGTTGGAATTTGAATAAATGCCAGGCGTATTATGCGTTTACGGTATTAGATTATCGTTTTTCTGCATTCCATTTTCCTTATCAGTGACATTTCCTTCCAGGCTTTGTGTTTTTGAACTTGGATTTTCTTGGACATTCAGTACTAAACATTTAATTGGTTTCAGGGATTCACCACAGGCAGGAAAACCAACAGGCTTCTGTTGTGTGGTCCTGCAGGCTGCCACAAGTAGTGAGTGTGAAGAGATTGTTAACCGTATAGGTGAGTTTGAAACCACCTTAATTCACAGTGTTAAAGTAATAAAAGGATTCTTATTTCAAATGTCAATCACTTTAGAAGTAATTTGTATATTTTTTTCCCCCCACAGCTGCTGGGTTTAAACATACCGAATGGTTTGTATGAAAAACCCAGAACTTACTGGACATCTTTTGTAGTTTGCATCATGTGTTTTTTAAAATAATGTATCAAAACAATATAGTTTATTGTTTGTATTAGTAAAACCTTATTGTAATACCTTGTATTTTGTGCTATGTTGTTTTGATAGAAATACATGAAACACTGAGTAAGTCAGATTTCATGCCTTTATTACTTTGTCACTGTTATATACCTATACAACTATTTTAAAACTCTTAAAAAAAACAACAAGAAATTTAAATAACCACTAAATTAAATGCACGCATAGGGGTCCAAGAATATTGAAAATATGTATTTATTTATGCATTTAAACCTGGAAATAAACAAGGTTGTAGGATCTTTAAAAAGTAAAACAAAGACAAATTAAATGTGTCATTCAATTAATAAGGAATTAAAGTTCTATAATCAAATAATTAAATGTATGTCACTGACTGAACATGTGAACTCGATATATATTTTTAAAAAGATACTATTTTTGCTTCCATCGAGGCAGAAGATGTTTTTAAGAATATTTTAAGTGTAAAAATAAAAGGCAAACATCCTTAATTTGTCATGCAGTATTTTTTATGAAGAAATCAATATCACGTTTGGTGGCCTTTATCTCCGACTTCGAATTTGAAGCACATTTCGCTCTTGGTTTACCTCTGTTTATTATCTCTGACTTCACTTTCCAACGACCAAGAATGAATCGTTCTTTTGACTTGATTCCTTTCATTGAATCATCTGAGCCGATTCACACAACCATTCCTGTAGGCATCGAACTGAACAGTCCAAGTGGTGCTTCAAACAAACTGTTCGAAAGAATCGATTCTCCCGCTACTTATACGTCATCACAATGGCCCGGAATTTCCTCTTCGCCAGATCTGGCGCATGCGCACATTGAAAAAGAATGCGGACTTCGCAGCTCTCCCAAAATTAAACTGTTTGATGGCCATAATTCGATAAATCATGTCGAAAGCAACATCTCAGCCCGGTTCTTCGGGTGCCGCTGCCAACCTAGGACCTTCATCGTCCTCCTCCTGCTCCTCACCCTCGGCAGGTGGCACGACGTCCCCCGCTAACGTGCTGCACGCACAGCCCGAGAAACCCCAGCACTACACGTACGTAACGAAACACCTTTACACCCACCTGATTACACATGCAAATCACATATTTCATGCACCACTAATTTTACACGCCTCTCATGCGCATCTGTGGGCTCTGGTGATGAGCTGGATCAAGAGTTGTGTTCTGTGGAGGCCTAGTAGTGTGATATTATGCATTCATACATTGTATCAGGATGATGTTTTGAAGGATACACTTCAGCATCCTGGCAAGAGGTCTGGTGATTTGTAAACACGATAAAGGCAAGCTATATAATGCTTAGTCTGATATGTTATGGATAGTGAAATTGTGGTTTAAATTACATCCAATATTTTGATCCCTGCTTCATTTTACCGATGATGAAGCACCACAGAAGTAACTTAACTTAGGTTCCCATATTTTATGACCAATGAATTTGCCTGATTATGTCGTACACTTGCTAGTAATTTACTACTGCAAAATGATCAACGAAGTGAACACAAACAAAACATTTATATTCACTACACTTTTCAGACATTTTAAAATGTTTTTTATTTATTTATTTATTTACATCAGGGCTTTAACCATCATTGACATGGACAGTATTCAAGCATAACCAGATAGATACTATTGAAATCACTATAGCGGTTTTTATGATATTGCCATGTTATTAAAATAAGTCTTGGACTTTTCCAGTTGTTCATAACTGATTACTGGGTAAGGTTTTTAAATTGAGGAGATATTGCACCTAAGCATACATTCACTGCCCGGTCAAAAAAAGTAACTGTTTGGATTTAAATAGGCAAATCCTTAAGAGAGTCAGTGATTGGATCATTATTGCAGTGATCATTATGTTTTTAGCATGTTATATGTTTGAAGGATCATTTTCACACATGAATTGGCACCTCTGAGTCCAGACCTTTGGATGTGCTCTAGTGCTCGACTCTTGCGTTGTCAAGATCGTAACCAAAATTATATGCACTTCCTGGTGGAAATAACATCAAAACATGTATGCTCCCTCCCAAGCATTCTTTCACAAAGCTACACACTCCATTGATAAGTTAAGAACTGTTGCCAAACATATAACATGCTAGAAACACACTAATCACTGCAATAATGATCCTGTCAGGATGACAGGATTTAAATCCTTTGTTTTTGTCTGGGTAGTGTGTGTATATACTGTATATATCACAATTACATGCTTGAAAAAAATGTTTTGTCAGTTCAAGGTTGTAGCTACACCCCTTTAATCCATCCTTGCGCTTTATCTTCCTTCATTTTTCATATTATATTTCTTTCCCCTCTTTCTCTGTGTAAGGTATCTGAAGGAGTTTAGGACGGAGCAGTGTCCCCTATTCGTACAGCACAAGTGCACTCAGCACCGGCCCTTCACCTGCTTCCACTGGCATTTCCTGAACCAGAGACGGCGGAGGCCGATTCGCAGACGAGATGGGACTTTTAATTACAGCCCTGATGTGTATTGCGTTAAATACGACGAGGGCGCAGGAAATTGTCCTGATGGAGATGAGTAAGAACCAGCAGATACTCTGTTTTTTAAGCCACAGTGTCTGAATTTATGTTGATATCTGTCTTTAATTTACTCATTTATTTCCAGGTGTCCGTTTTTGCACCGAACAGCCGGAGACACAGAGAGGCGGTATCACCTCCGGTACTATAAGACTGGCTCCTGTATCCACGAGACCGATGGGAAGGGCCACTGCAGTAAGAACGGCCCTCACTGTGCCTTTGCTCACGGCTCCCATGACCTGCGTAGCCCTGTCTATGACATCAGGTAGGGACCAGGGAGTTGACTTTTAAAGCAATAGTTCATCTGAATATGAAAATTGTCAACATTTATTCATTGTATTGTTCCGAAACCTATATCCGTTCTCTTTTGTGACGAACAAAAAAAAAAGTTATTTTTAATTTAAGGCATTCATTGTATCCACATTTATTATTTTGATTCACTACCATGTACTGTCTTTGGCATCAATAAGATTTTTTCATATTTTTGTGCATGGTTTACATTTTTTTACTTTGCTCTATGATATTTAATTGGCTATAAATCCAAAATCGCTACTTTAAAAAATGGGGTTAGTAAGATTGTTTATAATTTTGAAACAATCTGTCAAGGCTGCATTTATTTGATCAAAAATACAGTAAAAATATAAATATTATTGTGAAATATTATTACAAGCTAAAGTCATTTTAATTTTTAATTTTAAAAAATTTAATTTTAATGTTATTTATTCCTTTGATGACAAATAAACATCTCAGAGTCATAACTCTAGTCTTCAGTGTCGCATGATCCTTCGGATATGGTGCTCAAGAAAAATTTCTTTTTATTTTGAAAATATTTGTGCTGCTTAATATTGTGGAAACTGTGATACTTTTTTCAGGATTTTTTTTTATTCTTTGTTTAATTAGAAAGTGCAAAAGAACAGCATTCGTTTGACATAGAAATCTTTAATATTTAATGCATCCTCCTTGTTGAATAAAAGTATAATTGTTTTTTTTTAACCCAAACTTTTGAACGGTAATGTTCATTGTGGATATTTGTCTAAGTTTGACGTTTACATTTTTAATTTCTTGTTCAGAGAGGTTCAGGTATTAGAAGCCCAAGCTGCAACTGGATTGGTTGAGGGAACATCTGGAGAAGGGCAGTCAGGAGTCGTGGCCAGCACTGCACTCATAGAAAAGACCCTGAGTGAAGATCCACGCTGGCAAGGTGAAATCAGCCTCTATGCATGCATGCATACACACACTCGACTTGAATATGAACTAAAATGGCACTTTACATTTGTTTCATTCTTTGCCCATTTCTCTTCATGCAGACAACAGTTTTGTGCTCTCGCACTACAAGACTGAGCTTTGCAAAAAACCTCCTCGGCTTTGCCGTCAGGGCTATGCGTGTCCCTACTATCACAACAGCAAAGACCGCAGACGGAGCCCTCATAAGCACAAATACAGGTCTGAACAACAAGAAAACCTAAAGAGATAGTTCACCTCACAAAAAACTGGCAGTAATTACTCACGGTCATGTTATTCCAAACAACTACACCGTTATTTTTTTCTGTGGACACAAACTAAGAGTCTTTATCTAGATCATTTCCTACAACAACAGTTCAGGGTGATGAAAAAGGGACAAAAATGCTATATTTTATATTCCATGTGTTCTAAAGTGATAGTTTTTTTGTGAAGAAAAGGCCTACATTTAAGCTGCTATTCACTAATATTCATCTTTATAAGGTTTGGTTGAATTTTAAGAAACTTTGACAGAAATATGTTACTATTAGGTAATTAAATGATGCAATTAATTAAATGAAAACTTATTATTATTATTATTATTCAAAACAATGTCATTCAACCAAGTTTTTTTTAATTCATGTTTTAATTACACTGTAAACAATTTATGTTGCACTGCACCTTATTTGACAGATTGTTTTTTAAAAATAGATTTATACATTGAAATAAAAATGTATTAAATTGAAGTAAAAATTAATTAATAAAAATTGAAAATAAATTAATTTTATTAGACACCATTTTTGATTATAAATTTTCATTTTTTTTTAATTTACGAATCATTTAAATTCAGTCATTAAATTAATTAATACTAAAATTAATATAATATAAAATACAAAAAAAAAAAAAAAAACGGTTTTGATTTTCACCCCCCTACATCCTGGATTTTCAGTTTGAGTTTCGGTTTTAGTTTTGGGTGAATTATTCTAGATTCCCATTCCCAAAATTTTTGGTCAGCAGAACTCAAAAATATTTACTTGGAATAGCTTTTAAGTTAATATTTCCGTAATTTAACAACACATGTTCACGGTTGTCTGATGTTAGTTCACTGTTACATGACATGTAACAAACTATTGATTTCATTTTTAAATTATTCTGAACTATTAGTTTAAAAACTATTGACAAATCAGATATATGTGTGCAATCCCATTTGAATCATCTTAATTTCCTGCTCTGTAGGATGGTGGCAGACATCCTCCATGCTAATAATGTTTGTTTGTTCTTGAAGAGCCCTGCCGTGTCCCTCGGTGAAGCACAGTGACGAGTGGGGAGACCCCAGCAAGTGTGAGAGCGGAGAAAGCTGCCAGTACTGTCACACGCGGACAGAACAGCAGTTCCACCCGGAGGTATTTCACACTCAATCTAATGGAGCTGAACTCTGTTTAACATCAACATTTACAGCAAGAACAAGGACATCTATCAACCTGATCTAATAAAACTGTGCCTATTTGATTATGCTGTGCTTGTGATGCTCGTTAAGGTTGCTATTTTGTCTGGCCCTTTGGCTTAAGTGGCTCTTTTTTAGGTTATTGTTTAGTTGTGTTACTATAGCTCTATATCTTTTCTAATTCATAAGACACGATTTTAGACCCTGGAGAACGACAAAACCGGCAGAAAAAAGCAAGAAAGAGTTCTACACGTGACATGACGGAAAAATATATTCTGTGGCCACCAATTAAGAATTCATTCCCATAGCTTACTAAAACGAGGGAACAAATTAATAAATCATGGCCACATCTTACTAAAATAAACGAGAAAACGAATTTTTATTCGTGGCCACAATATATTTTTTTGTCCATATGTTATTTGTGGGGCTCAATAATAATTATTATAAAACTGATTTACTGGATATTTAAAAATATTTGTAATCACAATTTCTACCCGATTAAATATTTTAGAGCTTGGCACATACAAAATGATTATTCTGTATAAAAGTTCCTGTGGCGTTTTAAACCGTTGTTAAGGGGGTACATTAAATATAAAGAATATTTTAGTATTTTTAAGTATTTTAATGCTTGTTTTATCTTATTTTAAGTTATCTTGAAGCCTCTTTGTATGCTTGCCTTGTTGAGAACCATTATACTCTATTGTAGAGAAGAAACCAAACCACCCAAAACACCCTAGCAACCGCATAGCAACACCCCAATATTTTTTGTTGTTTTTAAAAAAGCAAGCACCACTAGCATTTTCATATTTTCCTAATAATTAATGTTTTCTTCCACAGATCTACAAATCCACCAAATGCAATGACATTCAGCAGAGTGGCAACTGTCCCAGAGGGCCGTTCTGCGCTTTTGCTCATTTAGAAAGTAAGATTACATTTTGGAAAGTTATGTGATGACACTATACATGATGGTGTGAAATGTTTCATTTAATTGTATATCGTGATCGTGTCGTTTCCGGTTTGCTTCTCAGAAGTAAGTGTCAGTGATGAGCAGCTGGCCGCACAATGCAGTTCACCTCTTGCAACTTCCTGCCCCAATACCTTTGAAGACTTCTGCCAGAGTGGCCAGAGTGCCACCTCAGAGGAAGGGCTGCTGGGAAGGGTTCTGTTTGAGGAGTCCTCCAGTCTTGATGCCTGTCTAGGAGGAGAGGGGGGTTATGGGAAAGCCCCTGGGTTTGAGAGGGAAGACCAGGTAAAGTAATAACACGTTCTTAATTATTTTATTTGAAGGCCTCAGTTTGAAGGCATTGGCTTTCTTTGCACAAACACTGTCATGGAAAACTTAAGAATTTAAAAATGATGTTTTCCAGGCCAGGATAAGTCATAAAATGGGTCATCCCAAACTATGCTTTGCTCTATATCTAATTGGCTATAAATCCAAAATCGCTACTGTTAAAAAAAATGTGGATATTAAGATTGTTTATAATTTTGAAACAACTCGCCAAGGCTGCATTTATTTGATCAAAAAATACAGTAAAAACTGTTACAATGTGAAATATTATTACAATTTAAGACATGTTTTCTATTTTAATATATTTTAAAACATAATTTATTCCTGTGATTGTAAAGCTGAATTTTCTGGATCATTACTCCAGTCTTCAGTGTCACATGATCCTTCAGAACTCATTCTAAGATGCAGATTTTCTGCTCAAGAAACATTTCTTATTTAGTCTTTGTTAAGTTGGTGACATTTGAGTGAATTGCAAGGATTGATACCTCTCATACAAATTGAAATATCTGCCAGAAATATCCATAAATGGAAAAAGAACTTTTTTTTTTGTTTTATTTGAAAAATTTTCATACCTTTCATACAGGCCAAATTTAGAAGTTTTTCAATGGAACATCGCAGCAGAGACATTTCCTCCATGCAAAACAAACAGGTATTAGTCACACTGATTCAAAACAGACAAACATGAATGGAAACTACAAATAGGCCTAGCACCTTTTGTATTATTGTGTTGTTGTGTTGTTTTCAGGATTTGTTGGTGTTTCTGCCTGTCGGCAGTCCTCTCAGTATGTCCTCGAGTATACCTTCCAGCCTGGCAGCCACCCCACCCAGCCCTGCACCCCCCGGCCTCTCTTCAGGCATGAACGCCAACGCTCTTCCTTTCTACCCTACAAGTGACACAGTGGAGTCTGTAGTGGGTAAGTGATTGGTCAGGGAGATAGTACACCCTAAAATTAAATTAAATTATGTTACTAAATTTATAAGGTACACTATGTAACTTTTACCCCTTTTTAGCATTTATAAAAACCCGAAACCATGAATTTTGCAGGAGAAAATTGATTTGGTTGTGCTTCAGCTCTGCATGACTGTGCTGAGGAATATAGTTATGTCTCATGACTAAAAAAAAGAGGGAGAGAGATTATCCCACTGCTCACAAAACATTCACTACTAGACTTAAAGGAGTAGTTCACTTTTAAAAAAGTTCTGCTGATAATTTACTCACCAAGATATCCATGTCATTCTTTCTTCGGTCGAAAAGAAATTAAGGTTTTTGATGAAAACATTCCAGGGTTTTTCTCTATATAATGGACTTCGGTGGGTACCAAACGGTTCAAGGTCCAAAAGACAGTTTCAGTGCAAACTGCAAACATTTCAAAGGGCTTTAAACGATTCCAGACGATGAATAAGGGTCAAAATGAACAAATCTTTTTTCTTGTCATTTGGTTCATTCAACAAACGAAATGAATGAAATGACTTGGGAAAAGATTTGTTCATTTTGATGAACGAGTTCGAACAGGAGAGTCACGAACGTGCATCACAGAACAGAGCAAGGTGACCTTTTGAGATTATAAAACGTAAACTTTGTTGTTGTTGTTTTTTTTTAAACAAGCGATCGTTTCGCTTGATAAGACCCTTATTCATCGTCTGGAATCGTTTAAAGCCCTTTGAACACTTCGCAGTTTGCACTGAAACTCTCTTTTGGACCTTGAACCATTTGGTGTCCAGTAAAGTGCATTACATGGAGAGAAATCCTGGAATGTTTTCATTAAAAACCTTAATTTCTTTTCGACTGAAAAAAGAAAGACATGGACATCTTGGATGACATGGGGTGAGTAAATTATCAGCAAAAGTTTTTTTTTTAAAGTTAACTACTCCTTTAAGAGATATAACCATTTTAGATGGAAAGGATCTCAATCTGATTAGCCGAAGATGTTTCAGTAGCTTTACCCATTAATAGACACAGTACTTCCTTGGAAATAAATTACAATACAGCTCAACAACAAGTGTAATGAAATAACCCTTCACATTAGGTAATGTTTTACAATGAACTCTGTTAGAGAGCTACATATGACGATTTATCTGTTCAATAAAATATATTGCTCATCTGTTGAGTACTAAAAACATTTCAAATCTCTTTGTTCTCAGTTCTCACCATCTTTGAAAAGCCAAGCCAATGTTGATTCTTGTTTTATTACGAGCTCTGGCACATTCAGCATTTTTGCCAGCAGACTCTGCTCTGTTTGCCGTTAAAAATGGGCGATTCCTCAGAAGTTGTAGATTTAGCTGCTCCATGTTAAACTTTCTCGCTCTTTGTTACACACAATACATACGAAATTAAATATGTTTTAATATAAATTGGCATTTAAATATACCTTGAGCTTTACTATTGAGTAGAATGAATTTTGAATGTTCTGTATGTTTAAAACAACACACATTTCTCCGCTTCACTAGAATCTGCCCTGGATGATCTGGACCTGAATGACTTTGGAGTCTCAGCTCTTGAGAAAAGTCTGGAGAGTTCGGCTCTACCCAGCATGGGCCTCATGTTAGGTTGGTGACGACTTTACAGTCTTATCAAAAAAAGATGATAGGATAGCGTTGCTGCTGTAAACTGTTGTCATAACCTCAGAAATTCATCTTTAACATCCATATTCAATTGTGTTATTGCTTTCCCACAGGAGGCAGTCAGTTACAGAGTTCAGCACCTGTCAACATCCCTGGCTCCCTAAGTAGCCCATCATCTTTCAGATCACCCTCACCTTCTCCACCAATTAGAGCTCATCATTCGCCATTCCTCTCAACGCAGTTGCCACAGCCCAACCAATCAGAGAGCAGCTTTTTGGGGACCTCCCATGGTTCTTTAGGTTTGTATTATTTTTATGGCAGCTGACTGGGTTAATGATGTGTTAAAGGGATAGTTAGCCCATGATTTACTCACACTGAAGCCATCCTAGGTGTATATGACATTCTTCTTTCAGACGAAAACAAACGGAGTTATATTAAAAATTGTCCTGGCTCTTCCAAGGGAGTAAATGGGCACCATTTTTTTTGAATCCATTCAAGTGCATTTATCCATCATAATATTATACCTATTATATATTTTTCTTAAACGAAATGCATGGGTTTGCTTCAAAAGGACTTTTTTAACCCCTCTGATCCGTTTGGGACACTTTTATGATGGATTGATGCACCACAAAATGGTGCCCATTCACTTCCTTGGAAGAGCCAGGACATTTTTAAATATAACTTCAATTGTATTAGTCTGAAAGAAGAATGTCATATACATCTAGGATGGCTTCAGTGTGAGTAAATCATGGGCTAATTTTCATTTCTGGGTGAACTATCCCTTTAAACAGTGTTATTCATCTTAAACTCTTTGCAAGGCTCACTCTTGATAATGAGTTCAGACCTCTTGTGAAATAATAGGTCACTATTCTTCTTTAATTAAATTGAAATATCAGTTGTCTTTTAAAACAAAGCAGTTTTGTTTTGTTGCAATAAACTGGATAGACAATGCAGTGGATCCAGTCTAACATGATTTTGTTTTGTTTTTGTAGGTTTAAATGGCATGAACAGCAGTATTTGGGAACATTTTCCGACAGGCCAAAGCTCGCCAGGTACCCCCCCTGCCCTGCTCTCCACGGGGAGCATGTTTGCCGAGGCATCACGTCTCAAACAGGAAGTGGAGGATGCACACAGGGTGCTGAAACACTGGGACCACAGCTGGAGACAGATGGCTCAGGTCAGACTCCATCTGTGTGTGTGGCCGGGTAAACCCTAAATATGGGGGGCAAAATGTCCAACATCCAAGTTTTGGTCCCTATGAGGAAAACAGCTTATAAATCATACTAAATCATGTTTTTTGAAAATGCTGAAGGTTGTCTGTGATGTGTATAGGTTTAGGGGTAGGGTTAAGGGTTAGTGTAAGGGATAGAATATACAGTTTGTACAATATATAAACCATTATATCTATGGAAAAGTCCCCATAATACATGAAAAAACAACGTATGTTTGAAAGGGAGACCATATTATGGACCATATTTCACATTTATATAGCGTTACCCCACCGACCTCATTTTACACTCTTTCTCTGACTCTAAAAAATAATCAGGATGATGTTGGTACTGTAGCTTTAAGACATCCACATAGATGTGATGTGATTCTATCCTGTTTGCATATAAATTACCAATATTTACAGTCTGTTGTTCATCATGAGACCAAGTTTCAGAATACAAATAAAAGCTGGGCTGTATTATGTAAAAGCACTCTTGATTGTGATGACTGATTTCTGAACAAGCTTTTCTATGAACTGTCACAGTCATTGGCCGTCTTAAAAGCAGACGCAGAGGAAGCTCGTCACGTGGTGGGGCAGCTGGGAATGGAGGCGGAGCGAGCGCGGCAGGCTGAAGTGGAGGCGCAGCAGCAAGCAGCTGTCCTGGAGGAGGCGCTAGAGAGCTTACGGCACGCAGAAAACCCACATTTACAGCTTCACCAGCTGCAGTTACTGCACAGACTTCCACTCAGCTCCATCTGCAGCCTGCATGCACAGATCTGCTCCTGCTTACGCACCGTAGAACAGGTCATTCACACGCCTGACAACTGACATGCAAATAATCCAAAAATCAAGTGAAGGAAAATGCATTAAGAAATTAAAGCGTTCATGTATTAAAAGTAGCATTATATTTTAAAATTGTAACACTTTACAATAAGGCCTTATTTATTAATGCATAAACTAACAGTGAGAAATTAATAATTTGTTACATTTATATAGCGCTTTTTCTGGGACCCCAATGGCTTCACATATGGAAGGGGGAATCTCCTTCCATAACTACCACCAATATACTTTTACAGCATTTATTAACTTAATATTAGTTAATAAAAATCTTAGTTCATGTTAGTTCACAGTGCAGTTAACTAATAGTAAACATACAACTTTTGATCTTAAAAATGCTGAGATTAACATGAATTAAGATTAATAAATGCTGTAGAAGTATTGTTCATTGTTAGTTAACAAATTAAACCTTATTGTAAAGTGTTTAACCAAGTGTTAAGTGTTAAACCTATATTATTTAAAATACTAATATAATAAAATAAAATTACATTATTTAAAATAAATTGTGCTAGTTTTTTGCAGTCAGTTTTAATTATGAGGGTTAAGCTTTTTTCTTTTTTCTGAACGACAAATATTACCATCAAGTTAACTTGCAATTGTGCCTTATATTTTAAATACAATATTTTTGTGATTAATAAAAGGGGGGACATGTTTCATTGCCAGAAAACTAATGTGAAAATGTAATTTTTTCTTTTTCTGTAATGATTCTGATAAAGTGACCTGGAGATTTCTTCAAGGTTCACCTTATTATCTGACTAATAAAGTAGAGCTATATTAGATTAATAATAATGCATTTTGTACTGTATTTTAATCTGTCTTCTCCCTGTGCCTCGTTCCTTCTTTCAGGCTGTGTTCAGGAAGCAGAGATCGTATTGTCTATCTTGCGATGAGATGGGATCGGTGACGTTACCATGCCAACATGGCCTTCACTGCGAACGATGTGCATCCTCGACAGAATGCCCGCTGTGTACCGAACACCAGTAGAGCATGAATATCCTACAGTCATAAACTCTTGACGTAATTCTAATGCTATAATCCAGACACTAAAACATAAACCCTGACCCCTCACAGGATCTCATTTGGATATTGCCGAAGTTCTCGGTTTAAAGCGGGGGTTAAATGTATCCCACAAAGCCCAAATCTAAAAGAAATGAAACCACCTCAGCCTTATCTTGGCTAAAAGCTGAGACTTTATTGAGAAATATGATGCATATTGACCATATCAAGAAGACATGCCATGCCATATTCTTTACACTAGCATGCAATCAGTTCTAAACCTCCGTGGGACCATTTTCTTCCTCAAAAGGTAAAAAATATGACATACATGATCAGTTTGTGATATTTTCATGTTTATTGTGGGGACAAAACATCACATTTATAATAATATGACTATGTCTCATTGTATTAATAGTTGAGTTAGTGCATACATGAAACGAATTGAGAGATTAAGAAACCATTTAAGGGACTATCATACCAAATTCTAATATTCCCTATATGCTCTATGTAGAAGCATAACACATACAACGCGTATATAGTAAGACAATCCTTTTTTTTCTTTTTTACATCTTTAAGTTGAAATGTCCTTCCAAAACATTCTGAAATGTTTAATGTTTACAGAAGAAATGCAGTTTGTGTATCTTCAGTGCAGCTTAAACGACTTTTACCAGACGGGAAGATTTCATAATTAATACAGATTAGCATAGTAGGTAGCTATATAGGAAATTTACAATTACTTTTGTAGGATTTTTTTAAAGGAGAAATTCCAGGGGACTGCTATTTACAGCAAAATGAAAAAAAAAAAAAGGTTTTGCAGCTTTTCATTCTCAGGTTTTTTTTTTTTGTTTTTTTTTTATCATGGCAAACTGGAGGGCAAAAAGCAAGGCGGCGAACACTTTTTATGTAATTCCTAGAATGTGCATATTTTATTTAATGCATTGATTGAATTAATAAGTTTACTAAACCAACAGCACGCTCCCAACTGCAGCTTTCTGTGAACACGTGGAGAACATAAATCATGTGCACTGACAAGAGCAGTCAAGCTACAGCTGTCAAAAGAGGGCTTGACTTTCGATTTATTTGGGCGATTTTAGTTGAATTCAGTTTGAAGGCACAGTTATATGGGATGCTCTACAGATGACGTCCTTTGAAACAGAACTTCACTGTGAATTCAGTAATCATATGCTCAAGTTTTGTCCACATACAGTGTCTCAGTCCGATTTTGTAAAAGACAATAAATGTATATTTTTGGATGAAAATGTTTATTTTTTTAATATCATAATTACACATCATTACATTAATTAAAAAAAAAGTTGGGCATTAAATAATGTTTTTTATATAAAAATAATAGATAGAAAAGTGAAAAAAAAAGGTCTTGATTCATGTTTGTCCTCTCAGGCTTCTTGAGACTTCTTTTCTCTCTGCCTGCGTAGCTTAACGAAGGCCTGAGCTTCTTTTTCACCCTTCCTGGCTTCAAGTAACCTCAAAGTATTTTCACCTACAAAAACAGACATGGCACAAGAGCATATTGAATCGCTACATGATACATATAACATGCTTAAAAGGGGAAAAAAAAGTGCATTTTGTCATCATTTGTCAATCTCCCCTATGTCATTCCAACATCATTTAATTTGAAACGGTGAGGTGACGTACTGTTGGGTTTGGGGTGCATCAAAGGTAGGCGTATCTGTGCGGGCTCTGGATTTTGGGGTCCGCCTCCGACTCCTGGCACTGCCTTAAGAGACAGAAACGCCTCTCCTTCGAAGTCATCGCTCCTCAAAGTGTCATGGTCCAGCACTGTCACCAGCAGACATGCTCCTGGAGACTGGCACTTCTCTAATGTAACACGACTGTTGCCCCCAGAGGACAGAAGCCACATTACAACCATAAAACAGCAATAGCATTTATATTTGGATCTGGTTCTTGCATAGATATCCACATTAAAGGCTAAATATCTCGTCCACGCTGCTGGCCAATGGAGGTCGACGTCTACACCTGGCGGCCATCTTGTCACAGGCAGCTCGCTCACTCGTAACATTGTGTTTTAATGGTGCATGTACTTTTTAAATAACCACAACTTGCTTAATTTTCTACCGATTTTCAAACGGTTTGGTTTGTTATAAACGTCAGAGATGTAGTTATGTTTAAACCAAACCGTTTGTAAATCCATCAAGATTTCAACGAGATAAGAGTATTTGTGTTCGTGCTGACCACTCATCTTACATCTGCTTGCCTGTGACAAGATGGCCGCCGGTGATGACGATAGAGACTCCGCCCTAAGACATCTAGCCTTTATTGTGGATATCTACGGGTTCTCAGCTCTGGCCCTTGAGGTCCACTTTCCTGCAGAATTTGGCTTCAACCCTGATAGAACTCACTCGCCTGTAACTTTCTAGTAATGCTACCTTGACTAGCTTGTTCAGGGTTGGAGAAAAGCTCTGCAGGAAAGTGGACCTCGACTGGCAGAGTCAAGAACCCCTGCTTTAAAGACACCCACAACTCTTAAATTTAGCTGTTTTTATTTGTCATCCTCTACTAATGTTAGGATGTGCAATAAACTAATTAGCTAAATGATGTAGATTGAACTAATGAGTGAACACAGGTTACTGAAAGGCTTTTATAAAGAGCCTAAGTGGCCATTTTCAACTAAAAAAAGGTAAACCTTTTATGCGTTTTGGCCATTCATTTATACAACTATGATATTTTGGGGCCAGAAAACAGGTTTCAAACTTCAAGTGTTTGAAAATGATACTGTTAAGGCCCTTGCACATGGAGTCCGAAATTTCCGTATGCGTTCTTTCGAATTCGTGATTCAATGGCTCTGAATTGTCAAAACACCATTCAAACTCCATTCAAACTGCTTGCTATGGATGCGAAAAACGTCGAAAAAATCGAATCGAATCCGATTCGATTTTTTTTTTATAACGGACGAAAGTTTTGGAGGCAGTGTGCAAGCGTAATTGACATAATGCGAGGTCGTATTTATTTTTTAACGTGCGGAAATTTCGGACGCGAATTTCGGACTCAGTGTGCAATGGCCTTTACTGTCTCCGTCTAAACTACAAAAACGTGAATTTGTGAAAACGGTGATGTCATGCGTATTATACGTTCAGTCTATAAGCGTGTAGTTTATCTTTACAAAGTAACATCGCTAACTACTGTGGCATACGTAGAACAGCGCTTTTTGTTGTTTTCATGAATCCATGTGAACGGGAATCATTTTGACAACCTTATTGTCTATGCAAAAAAAAAAAAAAAAAAAACGGGGAATTTTTTTTTTCCATTTTTAGTACATTCTTGTTTTGGAAACACCCTAAATTTGGGGCTTTTACTAAAAGAGAGCTTAAAAGTGAAAGTGTGCGTGGCATAGTTATCAGCATCTCCCTCGCTGCATAATGCGTGTACAGCTCCAATTAACTTGAGATAATTATTTCATTACAAATTAACCTCTCAATGAGTAACATTGGCTGTCAACAAAACATTATATATATTTTTTCAAATGAATTTGAATCCTCTACATCTAGCCAATGAGAAAAGAGGGTGTTTTGTATGAAGGGTGTTTGTTGCCATGCGAGTGAGTGCTTCGTTTACATACAATTCAAAGGACTCCTCAAACAATGGGTTGAGATCACAGTTCTTGATTTTGGTGGATCGTGACTCTACTTCAGGGAACAAGTGTCTTGGTTCTAGAGACAGCTGAACAAAAGGGTCACTGGAACCTGTAATGAACAAAACAATCCAGTTGTAAAGGATCAACAGGGATCAGAGGCACAAAATTAGTTCTGAGAAAAGCTGCAGCATCATTTATGTGCCGATACCACTTCTGAAATGTATCTAAAATGATGAGGTTCAGATATTTTTAAAGGGATAGTTCACCCAATCATTTATTGTCCCAAACCTGTATGAATTTATTTCTTCTGCTGAACACAAACGATATTTTTAAGAATGTGGGTAACCAAACAGTTTATGGGCTCTCCATTGACTTAACAATGACTATAGTCAATGGGGCCCATCAACTGTTTGGTTACCCACATTCTTCAAAATATCTTCCTTTGAGTTCCACAGAAGACCTAAAAGATCATGATTCATCAGATTTCCACATTCTTTTAGATTAGCAAGCATAATATGATAGGAGAGCATTTGTCTTCTCACCATTTGAGTCGAGAGGAATTAGATTGACAGCGTTGAGAACCTCTACATGCAGTTTCTCCTCTGAGCGTTTGTATGAGGTGATGAGAGTGACGGCTCCGTATTTCTCTCCATTAAACACTTTCTGTAAGAAATGTAAACAAATCCATGTCAGGAACACTTTGCTGGATCTTCTGGGTAAGTTCATACTCAGATCTCACCTGTTCCCATACATTCCTCTCGAAGAACTTCTCTATGAGCTGATTCGAGCTTAGAGAGTTTTGCGTCAGATTTACCCGCAACGCCTGAGGAAAAATATCATGGATACACAATCGTTCAAAAGCTTGCTGTTGGTATTTTTAGCCTTAAGTCTTTTATGCTTAGCATGGCTGCATTTATTTGATCAAATATGGTAAAATCAGTCATATTGTGAAATATAATAAGTAAATTTAAAATAAGTGTTTTCTATTTGAATATATTTTAAAATGTAATTAAGTCCTGTGATGCAAATCTGAATTTTCCGCATCATAATCTCGCATGATCCTTCAGAAATCATTCTAATATGTTGATTTGGAGCTTTTTTTTTATTACCAATGTTAAAAACCGTTGTTCTGCATAATATTTGAATGAAAAATGGTCATTCTTTGATGAATAGTAAGTAAAAAAAACAGCATTTATTTGAAATAGAAATCTTTTGTGACATAAATCTATTTACTGTTACTTTTGATCGAAGTAATGCATTTTTGCTGAAGCAGTAGTATACATATTGAAACAAAAAGATATAAAAACAAGAGCATAAAACAATAACACTGACCTTATATTCCTCAGTATGTAGTGTTTCATTAGGTAGTCCGTTACCTTCAGCATAAAAACACTGTTCTAAACACTGACAAAACAAACACATAAAACTAGATTTTTGCATTTCTGAAGAAAATATGAGAAGTGATTTATCTATGCAAAACTATGAGGTTACTGAGGTATTTTTACTGTATTAATATGTGGTTCTAGGTAGAAAATTGTAATTCTGACAGTTTAGAAACAAACCACACGCTTTGAAGCAGCATCCGTGCGGGACGAGTTACATGCTAGAGTGTAATATTTAGGGTTAGACTGAAAGGCTGAACTAACCTGCAGTGTGTAGAGTAATCTCTGAAAGTAAACCAGGTTACTGTCCTCAAGCTGAGACATCTGATGGAGAATCTTAACTGAGTTCATCCACAATGGAGTAAGAAGACTGAAAGAGACAATAAAAAACATATCAAGAAGGCTAAAATATACAGATTTAGTCACGCTGAAGAAAAAAAAGTTAAGATACCTGTTAAAATTCTCCTGAACCAAATTTTCATTCATATACTTCAGCTCTTTTTCCAGATATTTCATTAAAGGAACCACAGCCTGAAAACAGAGATTTAAATACTAAGTGGTTTAGAAAAAAGTTATTTTAAATCTCTAGATAAAACTCAAACACAAATGCCTTACTTCCTCTGTATCTCTGGAGGGAAGCCTTTGACGTGAAGCCATGTTGCGAACATGTGTCTCAATGTCTGTCTTTAACTAAAAAGAGTGACAACAAACATGATAAAATGTGTTCTGGTTGTTTTGTGAAAGCATCACTGAGCACTCTCTTATTCTTATAGAAAAACTGGCATGTTAATCTTACCGATGGGAATGTTTTAGCTAATGTTGTGGCAAGGTTTTCTCCTCCAGTAAAATTGATAATACATTTGTTCGAAGTTATCTGGTCTTTAATAATGTTCTCAAAAAGATCATACATCATTATAACACTTGTTTCTCTGTTCAACAATTGCCATGATGTTACAAAAAAAAAAGTCTGCAAGCTATAAGAACATTTCAGTTTAGGCTGATTTTTATGATTGTTCCCATCATACTTGGACAACAGTACTATAGACAGTATTGGGGAAATTTACTTTTAAAAGTAATGTTACAATATTGCATTACTCCCTAAAAGTAACTTAAGTAGTTATTTTTTTATGGAAAGTAATGGGCTATGTTACTTTTGAATGACTTTTTCTCTCTTATTTTATAATAAAACAGTTTTATTTTGTTCTATTTTCACACCAAAAGTGAAATAAAACGCCTCAGGCAGAAGGAAATGTAAATTCACGCCTGTACAGTAGAGGGCGCAACTCAAACTAATTCTCAGCTGTGCAGCCATTCTGGAATAGGACGCAGGAGA